ATCAGTTAAATTTTAACTCATGCTTGGATTTAAAAGTCAGATTATTAATTGTTAAATCGGATTTGTAGCAGAAGCAGAAATAATCCATTGTAAACTATGTTTGAACAGTCAAGTTATTTTTATTTTATTTAAAATTTTATGTAATAAGATAAAAATTTATGCATTTTTGGAATACTGTGCAATATTTTGATCTTGAACAGATATTCTTTTTGTTTGTTCATTTTTTATATGGAGATGGAGTCAGGCCTCTAACTTGCTGCCGTCCTCCTGCCTGGCTTTTGTTTTTTTCTCTTTGGTTCTTCCACAGTGAATCTTTAAATGCAGATTTTGAACATTTCTTGTGCATATTTTACAGTGTTCTGGTGTCTGTTCAAGTTTTAAAATAACGTTTACCATTTGAAAAATTTTAGGTTTTTTCTCTTCTTTTCTCCCCACTCACTTCTTCCCTTCTCTCTTTCTGTTTTTATTCTGTAGCTGAGGATGACCTTGAACTTCTAATGCTATCCTCTGGCCTCTCTTCCTAAGTGCTAGAACTACAGCTTCTAGCCACCAAGCCTGATTTGGTTTACCCAGTATGAGGAATGGACCCCAGGGCCTTGAGCATTCTGGGCAAGCAGTCTGCTCTCTGAACTCGATCCCAGCCTCCCAGAGTTTCCTTAAACCTTCAGCATCCATTTCTCATGGTGTTCTTGTGTTGTTCTGTGTCTTCAGTATCTTCACACTTTGGAAGTCAGTAAGAGTGATGTTGTAATTCTCGATGTTTTCTTCCTGTGGAGACACTCTTCTAAATGACTGTAGATCCTTGGCTGTCCGTGTACAGTTGTCTGCACTCAAAAGCTGACTCGCAGCTTTGGGGCTTCACTTTCATTACCACAGCTCCCCTTGTGCGGTTGGTCTGCTGGATGGAGTGTTCTGATGGACAGCTCTCCAGTCCTTCCCCCTGGGGCTGTTGTGTTCCCCAGAGGAGCCGTGGACGATAAGGATCTGACACTGGTGTTTGGGAAACTCGAGAGTGAGGTGTCCTGGGCATGGGAAAGGCGGCTTCAGTATTGAGCACTATGCTGTCATTTAATCCTCCGTTCACCTGGAGTTGCTGTCCCAGGCTCTAGAGAGCTGCCCGCCTTTCAGGCCGTTAGGGATGGGAGCGTGAGTTGAGTTGTCTGCAAGTAAAGGTTTTGCATCTGAGAGTTTCTCAAGTAGCCAGTGTCAAGCCAGTCCCCTTTATTTTAGGCTGGTTCTTTCACATCCAGTCCCAAGCGTACCTGGTGTAATCACTTAATGTGCCTTTTATAATCCTTTATATAAAGTCCCCTTAATCTCGGTGTGTTTTTCTACCACTGAAGCCTCTAGCTTTTACTTAGAGCTGTTAAATTGATCAGTACTCAACTCTGAGTGAATTTGGTTGGGGTTATTACATATTTTAAAACTTCAATAATTGGTGTCATAGAATTTTTAGAGAGAATAAAATTAAATGCATGTTTTCATCCTCCCAGTTTGTGTTCAAATTGAAAATAAGCACTGACTTGTCTCTTGGCATTTGGCTTCTGGTTTAAAGTGAACACAGACATTTGACAGTAAATTTATGTATCACATGGGCTGAAAACCAGAAGACAGAAACTGTTTCAGCATTGAAGTTGCTTTCCACTTCCCGAGTCTTCTAATTTCCCAGGCCTCCGCTGTCAACGCCGATTCTGACTTTCATGTGTCCTTGGGGAGGGTGGGCAGCAGAAGAGACGCTGTGTAGGTCTGGCTCCCTCCCACACTCAGTGTAGCGCCTTTCCCTGTTCTCTCTGCTGCCTCCACGGTGTTTACATTCAGCACTCCCCGGTTGCAGCTGTGGGGAATGGATGCTCCATCACACACTTGGCTCTTTCTTCCTTCACTATGTTAAACAGTGCTGGAGTGAGTAATCATGTGTGTAAGTGATTTCTCATCCCTGAATGTATGCGTAGGACAAAATCTTGGCCATCATATACATGGATTCAGGGGTTGTAAATTTATAATTTTAAGTAATTTGGTGAAAGTTTTATCAAAATTTGGATCTTGTGTTTGATAAATGTCAATTTATGTGAATATAATTTTTAATAAATTTTAAGTGGAATGTTTTAAGATATTTATTTTATATATTATTGTTTGTATGATTGTGTGTGTGTGTGTGTGTGTGTGTGTGTGAGAGAGAGAGAGAGAGAGAGAGAGAGAGAGAGAGAGAGAGAGAGAGAAAGAGAGCGAGCGAGAGCGAGAGCGCTCATGCATGTCCCATGGAGTTATATGGAGGTTAGAGGACAACCATTGGGAATTTGTTCTCTCCTTTTGTGGGTCCTGGGGATCTAACTCAGGTTATTAGGCTTGCCTAGCAAGCACATTTATCTGATCAGACATCTCACACACCCTTAGCTGGAAAGTTTCTGATTTATCCAATGTAGTAGGAATAGTATATGAGCTACTCATCATTTGATGATCCATCTGTTTTTATTAAATCTGTTTCTCTCTTACTAGACCATCCTAGATAAGGTATTAGTTTTGTTAATTTATTTTTGATATAAAGAATCTTGACCAAGTGTGGTAGCACTCAGGAGACAAAGGCAGACAGATCTCTTTGAGTTCAAGTTCAGCCACGCTGGTCTACAAAGCAAATTCTAGGCCAGCCAGGGCTATACAATAGAGACCTTGTGTCAACAAGGAAAACAGCCACGAGCAATCAAACACGAGCAGTCGTCCTGAAAATACAGCAAGTGCATTGTGGGGGAGTGCTCTTCTCCTCCAGCCTCCTGACCTCCTGTGAGTTGGTGCCTGATCCCAAGCTTTAGGACGGACGGCAGGAGAGGCAGGCACAGGAGAGAGTCATGCACAGGCTATGTAATGGGGTTCTGCATATGTGTTGGAGTCTCCACAGGAAAGGAAAGATGGAAAGAAATGACTAGGATGACCGTCATGTGTGGAAAACTAGAGTGAGCCAAGGCTAGACCTCAGTGTGTTTGCTCAGGTTTGCTCATTTCTCATTCTCATCTCCTGTGTTCAGTGGTGTCTATGGTCTGGTGAAGAAAGTCTGTCATGTGGGAGTTTCTTTATCTCTCTCAGGAAGTGTGAAGAGGGTCAGACTGTCCTCTCCTCCTCCGGTGCTTTAGGTACTCTCAACACTAGACCAGGAGCAGCACAAACTCTCCTAGTACCATTAATATGGTTTTTAGAGCTTTCTCGGAATTGTGTGGTTGAACATCTTTTTATGTCGTTTAGACCCAAAGTGTATTTATTATTTTAATTTTATTTTTTAAAAGGTGTCTTTTTAGTTTCATGCATGAGTGTCTCCTGAGGAGGCCATAGGGGCAGTTGGAACTGGAGGTACAGAAGTTGTGAGCTGCTCTTGGGTGCTGGGAACCAAAGCCAGGTCCTCTACAAGAGCAACATGTGCTCTTAACCCGTGAACCATCAGTACAGCCCCCAATACTACTGTTTTTAACATGGGTTCTGGGGATCAAACACAGCTCTGTGCATTTAAGGCACACACTTGACTTACTGAAGTGTCTCTCCAACCCTGCACTTGGCTTATATTAATGAATATTGCTGAGTTCATTTATTATTATGTTGACTAGTATTTTGACATAGATTTGAATGAGAACATCGATGTTGAGTATTCTTGTGTCATTACTGACTTGAATGGGAATACTCTGAACCATTAACTATTAATCTCTATCTCTGTAAATAGTATTGTGTTATGGACTCAAGGTAGAGGCAGGAGGATAAAAAGTTTAAAGACAGCCTTGGCTACATTATAAGTTAAAGTCCAACCTTGACTACATGAGACCTTCTCAAAGGGAGAAGGAAAAAAGTAAAAAAAAATTGGGGCTGGGAAGATGGGTCAGGGGTTAAGAGTACTGGCTGCTTTTCCAGAGGACTCATGTCCCAGAATCCACATGGTGGCTTACAGTGAACCGTCTGTAACTCGGTTCCAGGGGAGATGGCACCCTTTTCTGGTCTTGGAGCACTGCAGGCAGATTATGCACAGACACAGGCAGGCAGAAGGTCCATATACCAAAAAAATAAAATAATGAATGAAAAAAAACATTGGAAGCTAGGTGTTGTGGTAGTACTTGCTGAGACTGTAGGGTCTGGAGTTCAGGGCCAGCCTAGGCCACAGAGGAGATGCTGTCTTCACGGTAAAACAAAATAAAACAAGTTAATTTTGTTATTTTCTTTTGTTGTTACTATGAGCAGGTATAGAGTTTATTCAAATGCTTATTTTGTGTGTGCTGAATTGACAGAATTTGTGACGTGAAGCTATTAGTAGTCTATTTTCCGTTATTTGTATACCCTAGCAACTAGCAAGGATGGTCTCATTTCTTAGGTGACTTTATTCTTCCTTTAAAATTACCATTTAAATCACTGTGTCATTAAAAATTTTATTCATGTATAAATAAAAAAGATATATTTTCTGTCCTAATAGTTAGATATTATGAATATTCTTTTTTTTTTTTTTTTTGGATTTTTTTAAGATAGGTTTTCTCTGTGTGACCGTGACCATAATGGAACTTACTCTGTACACCAGGCTGGCCTTGAACTCAGAGGTTCATCTGCCTCTGCTGGGATTAAAGGTGTACGCCATCACAGGCTGGCGACCATGCTAGTCTTAAGGAGCTAGTCAGCACTCTAGGATGTGGGTTTTGATCTCACCGAGAATGTTGGTAAGATTGAAACAGGTGCCAATGAAACAAAAATCTTTAATAAAATGTCGTCAGTATCTTTAATGTTTAAAATATTTTCCTCCTTCAGTTTTCTTTGTTTTATACAGTTAAATGTGTGGATTGAATAGATTATACTGAATAAGTTTCTGTTGTGTGTGTATATGAACATGTATATAAACACACATATGCCCATTGTTCTGTACATGGCAGACAAGTGATCTACCACTCATCTACCCCATCCTCTAGTATAAACATTTTGAAATAATGGGAAATATACAAGAGTTTCTCAAAACATACTTTTTGTTTTATGTTCTCTAACAGGTACTCAAAAGTGTGATAACTTTGCTGAGAAAAGACCTCTTCTTGGTGTTTGTAAGAGCATTGGATCTTCAGGGTAAGGATATTCCAAGTGAAGCCTTGAAACATGTAGCATTGGTGGTGATGTATTTGCTTCCTTCATTACTCTCTTTTCCTGTGCTGTGATGCCGAGCATCAGATGAAGGCGGTACAGTAGATCACGGTGCAGTCTGGAAAGACAAGATTGTCAGCACTGAGGAAAGTGTTCTTACATTTGCTGTGTAGTATTAACACTCATGCCTCTACTGCAGAAGTTGCTATCCAGTGGTAATATAATAATGTTACTTTCATCATCTATTAATGTTTGGTAGTGTATTGATGCTGTGGCTTGTGCCTGATGCAACTCTAAAGGCATTCCTTGGTTTTCTCTCTTATACTTTATAATATTATGAAAAAGTGCCATTTCCTTTTTGATTTACACAAAGAACAGATTTGCTAGCCAGGTGGTGGTGGTGCACACCTTTAATTCCAGCACTCGGGAGGCAGAACCAGGTAGATCTCTGTGAGTTCGAGGTCAACCTGATCTATAGAGCGAGATCCAGGACAGACACCAAAGCTGCACAGAAAAACCATGTCTCAGAAAAACAAAAACAAAAACAAAAAACATAAACAAAACCATATTTGCTGACCTCACACAGGGGTTAACTGAGTGTCAGGGATACTCAACTGCTGTCATGCTCATACTAGCTACTATGAATGGGGGGGGGAGTTTGTGAGTTTGACACAAACTTGTGTCATGCTGAATTTCCAACTGACAACAATAAAAATATCATAACTTTCTAATGTGATGTAACGATTCCAGGTACAACTGCAAATGCATTATTTTCCCTTGCAATAGACATGGTACCTTGAAGAGTTCTTAGTCTATTAGTATTGAAAGCTCAATATGTAGATACATATTTAGAATACTTTGCCATTGATACTGTCTCAATCAATGCTACTTGATAAAGAGATAGAGGAAATAAAACACATCTGTTTAACATATTGGTAACAAACCAGGACAGAATTATTCTTGGAAATTACAATCCTCATTTCTGTAACTGGACACATGGCCTTAGCTGGTATTTGTTTTTTTTTTTTTTTTTTTTTTTTTCGAGACAGGGTTTCTCTGTGTAGCTTTGCGCCTGTCCTGGAACTCACTTGGTAGCCCAGGCTGGCCTCGAACTCACAGAGATCCGCCTGGCTCTGCCTCCCGAGTGCTGGGATTAAAGGCGTGCGCCACCACCGCCCGGCTCTTAGCTGGTATTTGTATCTAACATCCTCTACTACCCATTCTGTATTTCCTCTACATCCAGCAAGCACCTCTCAGGGCTTGATTCTTTACCTGTAGGGGTGAACCATACTTTCATTCCTGAAGTGTCTGGACCATTTATCTTGCCATAGGCCATGGTAACACCAAGAGATGTTCTAAAGGATCCCCTAGGTTCTAGACATATTCTTCCTTATCTCCAATGTGGAGAAGCAGTCCATTTTCCCCCCAGTAGTCTGAATCTATCAGCCCTCCAAACATTCCTTTGAAGAGCATCAGGAACACAATGTGGCGAGGGAAGAAAAATGAGCTTTCTTTTGAGTAGAATGTTTTCTGTGTCTCCTGGCATGAGTACTCCCCCATAACCAAAACTTATATTCCAGCAGAGCATAAAGTAGAGGGAACAGGAAGTAAAAATTTTCTTTGTGGGTCTTTTGGGAGGATGATGAGTGGTACTATTTCCCTTACCCCTTGTCCTAGGTCTGTGAATCCTGGCTACATATTGATTCAAAGTGTATAGAGACTTCTGGCGAACCCTACCTTGGTTCTTTAGCCAACTGCTACCTATTTTATTTTTATTTATTTTTATTTTTATTTTTTTAAAGATAGTGTCTCTCTGTGTAGTTCTGGCTGGCCCAGAACTTGATATGTAGACCAGGCTGGCCTCACAGAGATCTGCCTGCCTCTGCCACCTGAGTGCTGAGCTTAAAGTCATGTGCCATCATATCCAGTCCCTAATTAGTTTTATAACTATGTCTTCAAAAGGTCATTCTGTGGTTCAAGCTAGCTACTTTGGGGTGGTGGGGAACATGGTAAGACCAATGAATTCCATGACTATAGGCACATTGTCTGACTTCTTTGGGTTGGCTGTGAAATAGTGCTGTGTAGGATTCTGTGATGGTGGATAAGGCATTCTGTAAGTCCATGGAGGACAGTTTTGGAGGAAGCATTATGTACAGATATTGCTAAGATTCTTTCTCTGGGGAATGCATAAATCAACATCTTCCTTCCTTCCAGGGTCCTGATGACAAACTGAGGCATAATTCTACCAAAATTTATCCCTGGGAGCCTTCCTTCAGGCCTTAGAAGCAGGGGTTGCCTATAGGGATGTGGGCACCAATCCCTCAACCAGCCCCACCTTGCAAGCCTTACTCAACAGAGATGAGGTCTTCCCCCATAAGCCCTTAGGTGGAGCCCAGTTCTACTCTTTACTGCCCTCTGTTAGGGCTCATCCTCCAGGACAAGTGCACTGTTGCCGGGTGGTAGGGAGCAGCTGGCTGCTGAGATGGGAATCTCATGTCCTCCCTGAACCTTCTGTTCAGGAGAGGTTGTAATGGTTCTTTCTGTGTCCTTCTAGCCACTCCCAAATAACGACACGGGAGACTTACTAATTGTGAAAGCTTATCCTTAGCCTCGGCCTGTTTTTAACTAGCTCTTATAACTTAAATTCACCCTTTTCTATTAATCTACATTCTGTCAGGTACTGCCCATCCTGCTTCCCACATCCTGTTTCCTCAAATCTCTCTCACGAGCCTAGATTCCTCTTCCTCCTCCTCCTCCTCCTCCTCCTCCTCCTCCTCCTCCTCCTCTCTTTCTCTGCCTGAAAGTCCTCGTGCCTAGCTATTGACTGTTCAGCTTTTTAGTATAGCAACCACAGCAATACACCTTCATTCACACTGTACAAATATTCCATAACAGGATGTAAAGTGTGAACCCAGCTGGGATGATTTTTTTGCAAGGGGGAGCAGATGAACTCCCCAAGATGGAGGATGCTTCCCTTGGAGGACAGCCACTCATGACAGCTCGAAAGACAGATCCATAACTGGTAGACGGGTCTTTTCCAGTAAGGAAATTGCTGCCTTTTCCATGGTGGATGTGGTCCAGTGTAGTCAGCCTGCCACCAGGTTGCTGACTGGCCATTCCGGGAATGGTGTGGTGTCAGGCTCACTGTTGGTCTCTGCTGCTGAAGGATTTGATTGACACTGAGCAGCAGCCATAGTTGGGTCAGCCTAGGTTAGTGGATATCGATGTTGTTGAGCCTCACCTAACCTTCACCCCTACACCTGTAATTCACTTTGTTCATGGGCCTGTTGGGCTGTGGCCAGGATGGCTGGGGAAAGAGTCTAACTGCTCTCTAAAGGGTTGTCCTGTCTTCGTGATTGTTGAACCCCTCCTCTGCTAACTTATCTTTCCTCCTTTTGCCTATTTGTAGAGATCTATCTACACACCATTCCCCAGGCATTGTTCTCACCAGTTTCCATGCATGGGTCTTCCAAACTAAGCAAAGTGTACCAGCATGTGCACTGCCCATAGTTCTCCCCGTGAAGATTGCCTTGCCCCAGTGAGCCTTGCAGGGTTGTCCCAGAAAGTGCCTGGAAATGTTCCCGCTGTCCACTTCTGGGTGATGCCTGCATAGCGTTTAGGGTGGTCTGTAAACTAGGTCCTGGTCTTCTTCATCCTCAGTCATCCATCCATAGGGCACATCCCATGAGGTCATAGGTGAATGCGTGGAGACAATATGACAGGAATCAGAACCGCAGGCAGTAACTACAGCAGCTGGCGGGTAGCTAGGCAGGCTCGGGAGAGCAGTGGCGGGCAGCTGCAAAGTTGCTCTTTCTTTCTTTGAGGCTTTAATTTGGGCTGCTGCTGGAAGGTTCCACCCACATTTTGGGTGGGTCTTCCCACTTCAAATAACCTGATTAATTAAATCTCTCACAGGTGTGCCCAGCAGCTTGCCTTTTAGTCGATTCCAGATCAGTCAAGTTGAGAACCATTACGTTTCTTGAAGTATGAACTTCTTTTTGTTGTTGCCATTAGAAAATGAACTTTGGGAGTTTACTTAGTGTGGAGTGTTACGTCAGGTCCAGGAGGATTCAAAAGCACGAAAACTCAACCCCTTTCTCTAAAGACAAGGATCTTATGTGAAATCTAAAGCACAGTGTATGCATATAGCTGGGATTTTGACATGTGGAGGAGCTAAGAGAAGGGAGAGGTGGGTGAAAGTGGTTAATGACAGAGGCCTCGGAAAGGAGCAGCAGAGGCTGGCCCTTCTGAGTAAGAGGCTGGGCAGATGCAGAATACTTCCGCAGAGGGTCACGGCACTGCAGGTAGACATGAACCGGAGTAAATGGATTAAAACTGACTAGCATGTTTTAGAACACAGCCATCTGCAGAGCAGGTGGAAACAGCTGTTTCGGAGAAGTCAACAGAGACATCAAACAGTCTGAGCTGTGTTTAGGCTTGAGCAGCTGCCAAAGCCTGTACAGCAGTGGGATTGGGAGACATCCATGCCTGCAGTGTCTTCTGTCCCAGCCTTTCCGAATTGGCCAGTGAAGAGGTTCTTCCAGGTACCTTCTCCTCTGTGGCCGAAAACACTCAGCTGGAAGTGTCAGATACTGCCCAAGTCCTGAAACATTGTGCATGGGAGTTCCTGACTTAAGGGCCTGTGTGTATCCAGAGCCCATGGCTTGTGCAGTTTAAGGCTGTCATTAGTGGAGGCTTCATGAATGCATAGAGGTATTCAGAGTGTAGGGTTAAGAAAAGGTAGGAGATCAGAAAAAGCGTGAATGTGCAGATGCTTTGGCAAGGTGTAGTCTTGACCGACACATTAGTTTTTGAGCAAACCCTCCATTGACTCTTTAGTTACTTAGATACAGAGGCAATTCCCTGAAAGCCAGGCCTGAAAGCAAGGATAACATGGCTGAGTGTTCCAATATTAAATCTTGCAAAGATTTTTAAAGTAAGCTAATCTAAATTTATTCTAAAAATTAAATGAACTGCATTAAACA